GGTCCAGTCAGTCCGGTCTAGGTCTAGGCTAGTCGAGGAAGTCTATAAGTCCTGTAGGGGAATCGAGTAGGGACTTTTGGCTTTTCATTTTTCGCATACAGTGTTGGTGGCCAACGAAGTTTAGCAGCGCTGAATGTCTGCAGTGGAACCGGAGACATCAGCTGCGAGTGAAGCAGCCATAGCCGCCATCTGAGACAGCCATAGCTGGGACTGTCCTCAAAGCATCTATTCCCTGGGGGATATCTGCGTTGGCAGGCTTGTTCGGAGGGTCTTCACAGAGTATATGTGGGTACTGCTTCTGCGGTAGCAGCTAGGCAGCCATAGCTGCCTTCTTCATCGTCAGAGTGACTCATCGACACTGGAGACTACTTCGTTGTTCATGATCTGCATCTGGGTGTATGGCGCTGGCCTTTGGGAGGCTGTTTCTGTGCAGCGCTAGACTCTGAGAGTGTGGTAGTGAGTGGAGTGTGTGGTTCTTGAGTGGCGAGACAATGGGTTGAACTCTGTAACGATAATTGAGGTTAACTGTGTTGAGTTGGCTCATCATCTGGGTTACTTTCCGATTGTGATCTTCGCAGTGTCATCCTGTGATTGGTTGTTGGGAGTTCATCAGAGAGAGAGAACACTGTGTGTATTCTCCCCATCTGTGCATGATGGTTATTCCGCTGCTTATCTCTGGTCTGTGTGCAGGTGGACTCTGTCTGTTCCTTCCCTTTGACTCGTGCATGTATGGGCGTGTGTGAGTTCTTCTGGGTGTGAGTGGCAATCAAATCGTCAAACAACCAAGTTCATAACAGTTGGTATCAGAGCGGAGATTGGACTTGGAGCTCAGAGGGTTGAGCGCAACAGGGGCAACTTCTCTTTCTGGCCCTGACTGGCGAGAAGTGCCATGGTGGTTCTTCCTCTTCAGTAGAGATCCAGTGGAAGAGAAGACACACAAGCGGTGATTGCAGGGCATCAGTTTGCGATTGATCAGGCACCCTGAGCCTGTCTGTGTACCTGACTGGAGTGGCGAGAATAGGGTTATTTCGCCATCCACCCTCCTGACCTCAGTTGATGACTGGGTCTAGGGTGGCGAAATTTACCCTAATCCAGTGATTACTAGGTGGCGGCTTCAATCCCAGAGTAGCGCTGAGGGAGGTTTGATCATAGGATCACCTCCTGCTAAATTAACCCTCCTCAGGGCTAAATTTAGCACCAGCGGCTCATACCCTGCAGTGGCGAGATATCTTCAGCAGAGTTTTCTCTCGCCACTGGGGCAGATTCAGTGCATCTGAGTGTTGGGGGTGAATCGCCACATCATACTGGGCATGACCAACAAGTTTCAGGAGATTCTGTACGTGGGAAGCTCTGGAAGACTGTCTGCAAGGACTGGCGAGACCAGGGTTTGGCAGCGATAGCCAAAGCTTCATCACCCACTGAGCGAAATACTTCAAGTGAGTCTGTTCCATATGAATCCCTGAATAGCGATTAGATTAGCATCAGTAAAAGTAGGATTAATGGTCTGTCTGTCAGTAGTGTAACAATCGTGAAATTCTCAGACTGCAAGACAACCATATCCACTTTCTTCCTCCCTACCCTGACTCATATCTCTTCAGCTATTGACCTGTTCTGACTCAAAATTGTTCTAGGACTGCCTGACAGTATTGCGCTGCATCCTGTATGGTCATTCTGGGAATTCTGTACTGAAAAAGTAGTGATACTGTGGATTTGAGTTTTGCGCTGAGTCTATTTATAGTCTAGGCTACCTAGGGTCAGTCATAACTCAAAATCTAGCCGTCAGAATTCGAGTCTGTCAGTCTGGGGTGAATCGCAATTCTATTTTTAGCATCTGTTCTAAAGCGCTAGTCCAGAAACATGGTATTTGGGTCATTACAGTGCAATCCTGAAATTCGCCATATCTGGGGTGATTTCTGTTGATGTCAACAGTGACGAAATTTGAGTTTGGGGCTGTCAGGGTGTAGTTTACTAAATCGCTACTACTTGTTATCCTGTTTCAGTTAATTCTTGCCTGTTTCCATCAATACTACTAATTTGCTCTGCTTTCTGATAGGCTCTGGAATGCTAGTGACCCCTGGAATGTTGTGAAGGTGCATTTTGCAACTCCAGTGAAAGTGCAGTGTCAGGTATAGGGAATCACTAGCCTGATTACTGACCCCAGTGGTCTTGTTCCAACCCCAACTGCTTGTGCCCACTAACCCACATTGCTTTCTGAATTGACAGTGCAGCGAAATTTGAGTGTCTGTGGGATCTGTAAATCGCTGCACCCTCTGCTGTTTCATTTGTTTGTTGTTTGGTGAGGGAAAATGTCTGCCGCCTCTGGCGCAGGTGCAGGGAACGTGGAAGTGGTGGTTAAGGCTGAAGAACAGCCTTCAGCCTCAACTCCTCCTCCCCGTCCCCTGGCCCCTGCGCAGCGACGAAAGAGAGAGATTGAGGCCAAGCTGCGAGAGCAACAGGCGCTGCTCGCAGAAGCTGAGAGACAGGAGGCAACAAAATTGGAAGCTGCAATAGATGCATCCCGCAAGGAGCACCTGCTGCAGCAGGCTGAGAAAACTGTTGCTGATGCGAGAGTGACCCAGTGCACACGGGACTTGGCTGAGCTGATATTATTGCAAGACAAGCTTACAGCCAGCCATTTCACAAACTGGGACGAAAGGATCCAGAGGCTGGACACCAGAGTGGCTGATCTGGGAACTCAGCAGTCCAAGATTCTGGATTCAATCCAGAATCTGACTACTCAGTTAACAGCAGCCAACCTGATCTCTCCCCTGGTCCCTGTGGTCCCCTCTCCTAAGCCCCCAAAGCCTTTTCAGCCTTCCTCTCCACCTCCTTCCTCTCCTCACTCTTCTCGCAAGTCTTCTCCCTCTGTCTCCTCCCATGCCAAAGCCACACCTCCTCCCACCTTTGCTGCTGCTGTTGCTGGGGACCACAAAGGTCCCAAGATCCCTGCCCCCAGCAAATTCAAGGGGGATGACCCCAAGATTGATGTGGGGGACTGGACAGCTGGAACACGGGCCTATCCGAAAGGGTTCCAGTGCCCAGAACAGCAAAAGGTGGCAACCGTTGTGGGCCTGCTGGAGGGGACAGCCCAAAAATGGGCTACCTCTACAACTAGTGCCCAATCTCAAACTTTGAAGGATTGGGCATTGGCACTGGGGGATGACAAACTTTTGCAGGCCCTGGAAGACAGATTTGCAGACAAGGAAAGACCCCGCAAAGCTGTTGATAAGATTGTACGCCTGGGCCAGCAGCGATACAGCGGCAGTCTGCAGACTCTATTTGCTGAGTTTGAGCAGCTAACTTCCACCCCTGGGTTGGTGATGTCTGCTGATGACTTACTCACTAACTTTTGCAGGGCAGCGTCTGAAAAGTTTTCAGTTGCTTTGTACAGCGCCGGACACAAAGACTGACGCTCCTTTGGACGTGCAGCACTGGACATGGAGGCCAAGCTCCATATTCAGGCCCCCTCCAGTGACAAGAGGAAAGGCGCCTTCCCTCGCGGTGATAGAAAGGGTAAGGCGGCCTTTGCTTATGCGGGTTCTGGATCATCATCTGATGCAGGATCCCGTCCTGGTACACCGCCAGGTGGGACTGCAGCAGCTGCTGTTGCAGATGTTGCAGCAGTCGTTCAGCAGCTGCAGGCTGCGCTGGGGGCCTTCCAAAAGGCCGGGTCTGCCTCCAGCACAACCTCCAGCAGCAAGGGGAAGAGCCAGGGACGTCGCTCTTCAACCCCTGCCCGGCGCCCTAACTTGCCACGTGACGTCCATTTCCCAGCAGACCCCCTCAATCCCAACACCCTTCCATGGCATGATCTGAAGATTCAGGAAGGAGTGTGGAGGAAGAGGAAGGAGAAGGGAGTCAGCCTGAGGTGTGAAGGACAACACTTTCTCAAGGACTGTCCTTACATGCCTGACCCAGCTTAGTCAAAAAATTGAAGCTGAACCTGGAGACAACAGTTCCCTCTTGTGCTGCAACTGCATCTGCAGCTGCAGCAGCTTCAGTTGAGACTCACTCCTTCCCATCCAGTGTGGGAACTGCACGGGCAACATCCTTCACATATGAGGATCCTGACCTGGATCAGGAACCGGACCAGTCTGAGTGTCAGGCTCTTGCTGCTTTTTTCTTTCATCTGAAAGAACAAAAGCAGAACAAGTCTGATCTCATCCTGCTGCGGCCCCTGATCAACCATCACATGATCAAAGGGCTACTAGACTGTGGAGCCACCCACAACTTCATGTCTCCGAGTGCAGTCAAAAAATTGCATCTGGGCCTGAAGGTAGTGCGGCTGCAGCAACCGCTGCAGGTCAAGATAGGGGACTCCACTATTATGACCATCAGGGAGAAGGTAAGGGGTATCCCTGTTACCTTCGACAGTGCTGGAGAAGTCAGACATAGTCTGAACTTCTACATCTTCCCTGACCTACCCTTTGATCTTGTATTCTCGATGCAGTGACTGAGAGCAGTCAACCCAAGGATCGACTGGCAGATCCCTAAGGTTGAGCTGCCAAACAGCAAGGGGGTGTATCAGCCTTGTATGATTGCAACTGATCATCACCCTAAGACATCCTGCTTCTGCTTGAGAGCGAGAGAGTTTTATGCTCTCTCTCGCCAGTATGACCATGAGCGTCTGTTTATAGCGCTGGTCAAGCAGACAGACACTCCCACTACTCCTTGTCCTCCTGAGATACAGCAGGTTATAGACCAGTACGCTGATCTGATGCAGGAGCCCTTTGGGTTACCCAACCGGCCAACCAAGCATTGCATTGAGCTGCTGCCTGGAGCAGTCCCTCCCAAGGGCCGCATCTACAGGATGTCACCTGCTGAGCTTGAGGAGCTCAGGCGACAGCTTGAGACCCTGACCAGCAAGGGCTGGATCAAGCCCAGCACTTCTGAGTTTGGTGCTCCAGTCCTCTTTGTTCCAAAGGGGAGTGGTGAGTTCAGAATGTGCATAGACTACAGGGGTCTCAACAAGATCACTAGGAAGAGCACAGAGCCACTTCCTAGGATCGATGGCCTTCTGGATATAGTCCAGGGCTGCACCATTTTCAGCAAAGTCGACCTCAAATCTGGATATCACCAGATTGAGATGGCAGAGGAGGACGTCCACAAGATGGGCTTCAAAACTAGGTATGGTACTTATGAGTACCTGGTGATACGATTTGGACTTTGCAATGCACCTGGCACATTCCAGACTGAGATGCACCGCATATTCAGGCCGTACCTGGATAAGTTTATGGTTGTCTACCTGAATGATATCGTGGTATTCAACAAAACTACTAGGGAACATGCGGAGCACCTGGCTCTGGTTCTTCAGTCGTTACGTGATAACCAGTACAAGATCAACAAGGAGAAGTCCTCCTTTGGAGTTCCCTCTGTTATCGACCTGGGTCATGTAATCTCTGGCGATGGACTGGCCCCTGAAGCAGCTAAGATCGCTGCTATTCAGGATTGGCCACAGCCCCAGACAGTGAGAGATGTCCGGTCTTTCTTGGGTCTAGCCTCATACTACAGAAATCTCGTCAGGAACTTTTCTGCTGTGGCTGCACCCCTGACTAACCTCATAAAGAAAGACACTCCCTTTCTTTGGTCTCTTCACTGTCAGATGACCTTTGCAGGACTCAAGCAGGCCTTGACTCGTGCACCTGTTCTGAAGTTGTCGGACCCCACCATGCCTTTTGTGCTGACTACTGATGCTAGCCAGTACGGCATTGGGGCAGTCCTTCAGCAGGATGATGGGAATGGTCTGAGACCTGTGGAGTTCATGAGTAAGAAGATCAAGACTCAGATGCTTCAGGACTCTACCTACGAGAAAGAGCTTTATGCTCTTGTCAGTGCCCTGAAACACTGGAAATACTTTCTCCTGGGCAGGCACTTCAAGATCTTTTCTGATCATTCCACTTTGCAGTGGTTGAAGTCCCAGGGAGAGTTAAATGATAAGTTGGCACGTTACATTCAGTTCATTGATCTGTTTGACTTTGAACTGAAACACAAGAAGGGCTGCTACAACAAAGTAGCTGACGCCCTCTCTCGTAGGCCTGACTCTTTTGCGCTGATCTCCTCTACTCACTCCTTTGGAGAGGAGGTCCGTCAGACCATTACTCGTTCACTGCCTCAGGATCCGACTTATGGACCCATCGTCAGGAATCTGCAAGCAGATCCCAACTTTGAACCAGGCTATGCCCTGAGTTCAGATCTGCTGTATACTTACAACAAAGGAAAGGAGCGCTTGTGCATCCCTGAGGATCAGCAACTACGGACACTACTGATGTCAGAGTGCCACGATGCTCGGGGACACTTTGGGTTCCTGAAGTCGTATGCAGCCCTGTCGCAACGCTTCTTCTGGAAGGAGATGCGGAGTGATATGCTGCGCTATGTGGATACCTGTGAGCTCTGCCAAAGGAACAAGTTTCAGTGTAAGCCTCCTTTGGGATTGCTCAAACCTTTGCCCATACCTGATGGCCCTGCACAGTCTGTATCCATCAATTTTACAGACTTAGGCAAGACCACCCCTCGTGGCATGCGTCAGGTCATGGTCTGCGTGGACAGGTTTTCCAAATACGCTGAGTTCATCCCCTTGCCAGAGGTAGACAGGGTACTGGCTGTGAGAGAAGCCTTTTCTGAGAGGTGGGTCACGCACCATGGACCGCCCACCTCTATTGTTAATGATCGAGACCCCAGATTTTGCAGCGATGAGTGACAGTCTTACTGCAAGGACTATCTGCACTCACGCCTGGACATGACTTCTGGTCGTCATCCTAAAGCCAATGGATTGGCTGAAGTGATGAACCAAGTCCTGTTCCAGTTGCTACGTCCTGTGATCTCTCCAGATCAACAGGACTGGGATCTCCACTTGGCGAGGGCACAACTCTTGTATAACATGTCTGTCCACTCCTCGACAGGGTTCAGTCCCTACCGATTACATTGGGGACGTGAGCCACGACAGTCTCTCGATGATATCATCGACAAGGCTAAGCCTGACCTTACCCCAGGCACGGCAGAGTTCGCCAGACGCTATCGTTTGGATGTGGAAAGAGCCCGGGCGAACTTGTTCAAGGCYCAAAAGGCCATGATTGAACAAGCAAACCGCCACAGGCGGCCTTCCCCCATCCGCACTGGTGACTATATCTGGGTGGCCAGTTCTAAGTTGTCGAGGGAGGAGGATATTTCTCCCAAGCTGTTGCCGCGCTACCTGGGTCCGTGGCAGGTTCTAGATACAGTGGGCGCCGATCCCTTCAGTTCGTCGTACGTCATCGATGTTCCGCTGCATCTACGAACCTATCCGGTCTTTCATGCATCTAAGCTGTTGCCTTTTACGCTAGCTGATACATTCCCTGACCGGCCCCCTCAATGGGGCCCACCAATCCCTGGCAAGGGATATGATGTGGTGGCCATTGAGGATAAGTGGGGCACTGGCCCCGACCGGCAATATCTTGTCAGGTTCGCTTTCCAGCCCCCTTCTGAGAACCGATGGTTCTACAGAAGAGACCTGATCAAGACAGCAAAGTCTGTTGTACTGCGATATGAGGCGGCTCGGAAGGCTGACTTTCTCCGTTCGCCTCGTCTGCACCCCTAGCTCGGAGGTCCTCGCTCCCGGGGAGGGTAAGCCCGCAACGACTTGCTGATTTCTGCTGCCGAGATTGTGTGCGAGGCTGTACACTAACTGGTAGGGTTAGTTCTGCAATTTTGTTTGGCTGAGGGCTAACCGAGAGATCCGCCTGTGTGAAAATTCGTGAGGGACAGATCTGTAATTTTCGGAAAATACAGACCTGGTACTAACCGAGTTCCTACAACTACCCTAACTGCCTATAGCAGGCCCGGGCTACCCCTAGGACAGACAGGCCCTAAGTGGCCTATACTGCTATACGGTCCTATAGCCTATAGTCGGGTACAGTAAAGGCCGAGAGGCTGAAACAGCAACGGTACCGGTAGGTCCAGTCAGTCCGGTCTAGGTCTAGGCTAGTCGAGGAAGTCTATAAGTCCTGTAGGGGAATCGAGTAGGGACTTTTGGCTTTTCATTTTTCGCRTACAGYGTTGGTGGCCAACGAAGTTTAGCAGCGCTGAATGTCTGCAGTGGAACCGGAGACATCAGCTGCGAGTGAAGCAGCCATAGCCGCCATCTGAGACAGCCATAGCTGGGACTGTCCTCAAAGCATCTATTCCCTGGGGGATATCTGCGTTGGCAGGCTTGTTCGGAGGGTCTTCACAGAGTATATGTGGGTACTGCTTCTGCGGTAGCAGCTAGGCAGCCATAGCTGCCTTCTTCATCGTCAGAGTGACTCATCGACACTGGAGACTACTTCGTTGTTCATGATCTGCATCTGGGTGTATGGCGCTGGCCTTTGGGAGGCTGTTTCTGTGCAGCGCTAGACTCTGAGAGTGTGGTAGTGAGTGGAGTGTGTGGTTCTTGAGTGGCGAGACAATGGGTTGAACTCTGTAACGATAATTGAGGTTAACTGTGTTGAGTTGGCTCATCATCTGGGTTACTTTCCGATTGTGATCTTCGCAGTGTCATCCTGTGATTGGTTGTTGGGAGTTCATCAGAGAGAGAGAACACTGTGTGTATTCTCCCCATCTGTGCATGATGGTTATTCCGCTGCTTATCTCTGGTCTGTGTGCAGGTGGACTCTGTCTGTTCCTTCCCTTTGACTCGTGCATGGTGTGTATTCTCCCCATCTGTGCATGATGGTTATTCCGCTGCTTATCTCTGGTCTGTGTGCAGGTGGACTCTGTCTGTTCCTCCCCTTTGACTCGTGCATGTATGGGCGTGTGTGAGTTCTTCTGTGTGTGAGTGACAATCAAATTGTCAAACAACCAAGTTCATAACAGTTCTATCATTCTATCGTTCGATCGTTCTTAGACTACCGTTACAGAGCCAGAAACCGGGCTGGGCAGCCCTTGAAAAAGTGCAAAATAAAGTGTTAAACACGCCAACAATTCTAAAACCGAACGGCGCAAAGGCACATCCTTTTGTACATTCTATCGCTCGTCCACATTTAATTTAACCCTTGCTGTAAAACACACCCACAACCAAATAGCGTTCATGTTATGATCCTGGTCAATTTCGAATAATATCACTTACGATTGGTTTCTTGTCAACTGTGTATGACATGGATGTTATGGACTGTTGACATTTGTCAAGATTGGAGTTGATAATCAATCAATTTCGAAGTACAAATTCACGAGAAAGCACAATGCCCCCAAAAGCAAAAGAAATGAATGAACTTGAGAGAAGAGAGAGGGAAAGAAGAAGAAGAAGAACACGATGAAGAAGAAAAAGAAGAGGAAGAAGAAGGAAAGAAAGAAGAAGAAGAAGAAGAAGAAGAAGAAGAAGAAGAAGAAGAAGAAGAAGAAGAAGAAGAAGAAGAAAGAAAGAAGAGGAAGAAAGAAAGAAGAAGAAGAAGAAGAAGAAAGAGAAGAAGAAGAAGAAGAAAAAGAAGAAGAAGAAGAAGAAGAAAGAAGAAGAAGAAAGAAAAAGAAAGAAAGAAGAAGAAAAAAAAAAATAATACACCAGCAACGACCAATTATAATTCCCCTTCTTCTCGCCAACCAGCTCCTCCTCCTTTTCCCCTCCGCTGATTTTTCGAACAATAAATAAAATAATAGAGAAAACTACGGCGCAGTCAGTGTTTGAGTTTGTAATTGCACTTGATTGAGGCAAAAGGGCCGGTAATGGTGAATGTATATGACCTACGTTTCGGGTCCGGTGGGGTCGCGTGGGGGTGTGTTCTATTCGCGGGACTGCCTGAAGTGCAATTACAAACTGTTTTCGTGACTGCGCCGAAGTTACCCCTAAATAATAATAATGATGAATGGTAAAACCATAATCAATGTGCGAATCCCTCTAAATATAGAATTCATGAGAACCTATAAAAAAAAATTGTTAGGTTAGCACCTAGGCTACCAGCCGGGCCGCCCGGGTCCCGGGTGGCCAGCCCGTGCAAGGACCAAGGAAGGTCCCAGCAAAAAAAAACAAAAAACAAAAAAACTCCAAAAAATCCGAAACAAAACTATGTTATGCAGAAAAATAAACTGAACAACTTTTGCCTCAAGGTCACATCGAAATTCTTCATCAAATTTAAAATAAAAAATAAAATTTAAAAATATTATTTTATTTTTATTTTTTTTGGCCCGGCCGGGCAAGTGACCCCGGGCCACTCTGGTAGCCTAGGTTTGCACGAAATTTTTTAAAGATTCTGATAGTACATTTTTCAGGCCTCTTACATGAACAACATTGTATGTGAAGTAAACTAACCGCAAAAAATGAATAGAAAAATACTTTTTCAAAACCATTGGAAGTGGTGAGGAGAGAAGCAAGTCTTTTTACAAAAAAATCACTACCTTGCAAAACACCGTTTGTTCAAGAACCGAAATATCCTAATTTTTTATAATTAAAAAAAATAAATTTATAGTTTTATAAGGTATGAAGCACGATGAAACTACTCGGGGGTTTTCCAAACACGCACATATATTCTCCTATTCACGAATACATTCTCTTGGATATGTTCCCTCATACATGGACAAATATATTGTTTTTTAGTATTTTTTATTGAAATATTTTTCTATTTTTTAATTTTAAATCGTGGTTGGCTAAGAATTTGAAGATGTCCCCGAGGCAAAAATTGTTTGAGTTCTTCTTTTACATAACATATATTTTTTGACAAAGATTTTACAGTAAACTTAAAAATGGATTATATTAATTTATAGTTCTGAAAACTACTTTTCGCAGAACTTGGTTTTTACCAAACTGCTGAAAACGACTTATAGTTCTATAAATGAGTATTCATTGAAACTGTTTTTTTTAACGTCTTTCGAGTTCGTCTTGCAGTCCTTAGAGATTGTCTTGTTTGAGCTATGCCTTTTTTCAATCTACTGAAAACGACTTATAGTCTTATAACATGTTTATTGGAAAATATTTTCTTGCACATTTTGAGAATCACTAGACTTTTTGCCAATTTTTTTGCCTCCTTTATCGGGAAACATTTAAAAACGCTCTCTTTTATGTGTCAAAAATAAAAGTTTGACTTTCACTTTTTCATTCTATAAAAAATGTTAGGTTTTGTGGTTTTGTTAGGTTTTCACGAATTTAGTGTTTCTTCTACTGCCAGCACAACTTGAGGTCCACCATAGCCATGGCCCCCTCCCTCTTCCTTCTTCCTCCAGGCCGAAGCTATGGCGGACTACTAGGGCCTTGCCCTGACGTGCAAAAGACAACACAAAGCAGCTATGGCTGCTTGCACTCAGGCCGCCATGCCTGACTCTGCCTTGAGGCTTATGGTGTAGCTCTACCCCAACAGGGGCCTTCCAGATGCAGCGCCCACCAAGGTGATGAAGATGGCGTCCGCCATAGCCAGGTAAGTACCCCTGGCGCTCCCCTCCCTTAGTCCCTTCTTCCTCCTCCTCCTACCCGAGCTCCTCCCCCATAGCCAAGGTGGAGAGGTGCGCTGCTCCAACCAGCGCTGCTCCAGCCAGCGCTCCTGCAGTGTGTCGCCAAACTTGCAGTGCCACGCAGCAAATGAGGAGGAGCACTTCGCTCCTCCTGGAGATATAGCGGCCAACTTGCCTCTTGGGCGGTGACTTCCAGGCTGCGCGGCCTCCAGGCAACTGGTACCTCGTCCCTTTCGGAGGGATACATCATTGCAGACTCTGATATCGCCCGTACAGGCCCTAGACTCAGACTACTTGGACTGGTACCCACCCAGACCTAGCCTAGAACTACCAGGCCTCTAAAAATGCCAACTTTTTTGTCTTTGTCTGCTCGTCCTCCAGTCCCTGACACATCTACCGCTACTTTGAGTGGTACTGGCCTGCCTACTACTTGAGTGTTTTTCCCCGGTGTTCTAAGTGTTGCGGGCCTATTCTCGCTACTTGAGTGTTTTCCCCGCTGCAACCCTCAATGTCATGGCCACAGGTAAGTACCGGCCCTACGGGGCCTTTCAAGCAAGCAAGTACTGGTGTGGGTCACACACAAACTCAAGTCGACAAGCACTCACACAGGCACGGAGAACAGCAAGCACACAGTATCACACACATTTGCCCCTTCATTTTTGTGCATATAGGGGTCTGACGCGGTATTGGTATCCCGCTGTTCAGATAGCCGCGTCTTCACAGGACAGGTCGTCAAAAGCTTGCTGTGGCAGTCATGGCCGTCGCCGGCAGGATGGCAAAGGCTGCTTAATATGCCATGCCCGATTTCATACTGGGTTTTCGGACTAGAAGACCACCTATGCTCCTCGCCTCTGCAGGACAGTGCTTGGTTTCGGACGACGTCGATGACAATGGCGGAGCCTCAGGGCGCAAGGGTCGCAGTCTCCAGTCTGTCTCTTATACACATCTAGATGTGTATAAGAGACAGGGAATGGAGGAGGCAAAAATTGCTATCAAGTATACTCATAAAACGTGAAGTCGCACAACAAGTGTCCACAACAAAATGACCCTGCACACCATGAACTCACACAAGTTTCCCACAAAATATGATAAAAATGTGATGGAGCACGTCGTCATCACTATGATCTGCCTATGAAAAAATCCTCATAATAGGTGGGCGTCAGTGAAGACACTGAGGACAAAAATACAAAGTAGCTGTGTGCTGCTGCTAACCTGTCGTCGAGATCATAACATCAATGACCGAGTGCCCTGTCTAGTACTGGCCTGACCTACGACGAAGTCATCAAATGACAAAGTCCATGTACGAAATTCGTCTACAAGTAATAGCAAAGTGCAGTACAGATCTAAAGAAAAATATTCAATGAAGAAGTGCCAGGCTGCCAGCTATATTACACATTGCTACACAACATCCATCGTCATCATCCTACTAACCACGTATAGCATAAATCCTTTCAAAAATGGGGTAACTACGGCGCAGTCACGAAAACAGTTTGTAAATGCATTTGAAACTCCGTTTTGGCACTTCAGTCAATGCCCGAGTTTGAAATCCAGTTCAAACTCGGGCTGCCTTCTGTCAGGGCCCTCGTCGATTCACGAACAGCAATTGAAAAAAGAAAAAGGAAAAACAACATCCCTTATGCTGTGATTGCGGTCCGATACAGGATGCTACAGTAATTGTCTGGAACCGAAAATGAAGCGAGGCAGTTAGCTGCCTCGCATGGAATCCGCCCTGCCTGGCTGGCAGGGCGCTACAACGACCTCATTACAAAAAGCAAACAAAAAAAAGACATGTCTCATGGTTCTCAGGGAGCTGTGTCTTTTCTTCTCTTTGAAGGTCCAGTTGAGGCTTCGGGGATTTAGAGATGAGTTTTTTGACAATGTGTTGAGGAATTTTTCTAGTAAATTTGGGGAAATTTGGCAGCATTTGGGTCGATTGTTTGACGGGATGGGACATGTTACCTTCTGTTACTGATGTGCCTCGTAATTGGCAGGGGGCAAGTGTTTCGAGGGGTCTTAGGCAAGGCTGAGTTTGTTTGTTGGTCCCCCCTAGGTTTGTCAGTGGGGAAAGCATTCTGAGGGGCTCTATTTTAGGTACGGTTGTGGGTCTGGCGGTGGGCCTACCGTGGGGAGTGACCGCTTTGTATGATGCTGTACTTCCCAGTCTTGTCGGGATTGAGTCTTGAAGTTGACGATTGAGACCCGGTAGGTTTTCGGTCGAACTTTCTGAGAGTACTTATAGGGCCAACCACATTGGTTTTGTATCCGTGACGCTTAGACCCCTGATGAGTTCGACACTGGCGGCCGAACGAAACATGTCGCGTCCCTCGCCAGATGCTCGGCTTGCTCTTCACGTGTTGGCGTGTTGTCGCCATCATTCGGTTCGGGCTGATGGGTTGTGCTTCATTCATGTTTTGAAATCCCATCCTGTCGCGTTCGGGTTCTTGTACCAGCGTGTTGGTCGGTCTTGCGCTCTCCTCCTTCCTCCTTTTTCTCTCGCTCTCTTGCTCTCTCTTCTCTCTCTCTCTCTCTCTCTCTCTCTCTCTCTCTCTCTCTCTCTCTCTCTCTCTCTCTCTCTCT